CGTATGTCAAATAAACTTGAAACCCATTCAGAATTTTCAAGTTGGTGACTTGACACCAATTCTGCCCATTTTTCTTCGAATTCAGCCGCTTCAAGATCAGCATATACAAACGTCTTCCATTGAGGCTCAAATGCTTTATTATTCTTGAGACGACTCACAATGTTCTTAGCGATATGCCATGAACACAATCGATGAATTGCAGTAGGAAATACTTTCTGAATGGCATTCCGCATCGCTTTGTCGCCGTCTGTTACAATCGTACGAGGTTCCTTGTCTCCCATTGCTTTCTTCAACTTCCCTAGAACCCAATCATAACTCTTTTCTGTCTCGTTAGCCAATAAAGCGCATACAAATATACAGCTCTTACGATGATGATTGATACCTAAAAAGTGATATAGAAGTTATGTATAGCTAAATAAAATATGGAGTGACGGATCAAGTTTGATAAGAGAAAAGTTGTGCACCTGAGAAAACAACTAGCGGCATGTTATAAATGTGTTTCTTGTATGTAGTATCAAAAGCTAGCAAATCTCCAAAGCATGCCATATCTGCTATGCTTATGCTGTCCGCCCAGAACACGCTACAAAGTCTCTTATCTTCATCAAAAGTGGGTTCGAGGATGAAGTGGTTGTCTATGCTGATTTTTTATTTTAGATACGCTAGTGCAGTAGCAGCATCTCCTTAACTGATCCTTTTTTTTTATCTTTAGAGGCAAAATTATGCAAATCCTTTTTCGTATGTCCTACTTTATCATAGCCTCCAGCTTTCTGAACATGCTGATTCATGATATCAGCCGTTCTCATACCTGCATCTCGTTGGTAACGTACTTCAGACTTTGTTGCTTCATCTAAGCTTCGATGGGATCTCATATGATGCACCAATTTTTTCCCAACCGGATCATGGGTATGATAGACATTGAAAGCATCGACAACGAACTTAGAATCTGACCTGTCCAGATGAACATGCATCATAGCTTTACATTCAAATCTTGTAATGCATCTCGCAGATCTCTGTAATTCCTTTCCTCTTTTACGTTTTGTTCCTGCACTAGAGCAGACAAATTTTTGAGAAGTGATTTGCCCTTCTTTGGTTTTATATTTCTTTTCTCGTCTCACCTAAAACCCCCAAGCTCTGGCGTACTTGTTGTAGGAAGAAGTGTTTGTCCACCAGCACAGGGGCAAAAATCTAAAAAAGGTACATATATTAGTTGAAAACTCAGAACACGAACACTATAATGAAGAAAAAACCTATCTACACCTACCTTCTCACAGTCACTGAATTCTTCTGCACTGTACATTGTTTTCAGGGTCTCCTCTGAGTAAGCAAACACACGACCTCCAGCCTTCCTTACCTAAAAGATGCACCGCGCACAAAACATTTTACATAGATGGTGAAATTTCCGAGAAATGGAAGGGAAAATATAAATCCACTTACACCAAATGCTGGCGGTAAGAACCAATGCACACGTCTCTTCTCACAAAAGTCCTCTAAGGTTAACAAGTCTGTGCACATAGTCATTATCTATACAAATATACAACACAAAATCAATATACAGTAAACAACCTCTACCCTTTAAAACCCTTTTATGCTGATTTTAATCTTTAAAATAAATGTAATACTAACCTGGGTAGACAACCATGTTTCAGGTAATAGCAACTTAAACTCTGCACGGTTTAAATGAAACCATGGAGATTTGACCAACACCTCACTACAACAGTAAATAAGATATTCATTGAGGGATACCAAGAATTTGCCAAAAAAGTATTCTCAGTAATTTCATTTGATGTATCATACGAGACAAACTTAACAAGGACAAAGTGTGAACAAAGATTAGAAGTATCAGTTAAGAGAAGATAACTATGACAAATCAGAAAGATATTATTGCTCAAAACTTTTTTAAAATACAAAAGATAATATAAATCAGTTTACACGATAGAAGAAATGAAAACCCAACTGGAAACAAATTAATTTTACCTTGCGTCCTTTGACTGATCGAATGCATGCCTGATTAGAAGCTTATCCCTTTTTGATACATGTTGTGTACTGGTGAAGGGTCCGATCACCTGTTTTGAGGAACCTCTCCTCTCGGTATCTTGTCGGGTCAAAATAGGACTCCGTACCCTAACCGGAGACTTCAAAACAACCTTTCCCTAGCAAAAATCCAGTACATTCAGAAAATCAGAACACAGTCAAAACAGAAAAATAAAACGAAATAAAGGAAAACACAACACCTTTCCCTTGGTGGCAGTGAATGTCATCTTTGGCTTACTCCTTGCTGACAGCGAGAAGGAGCTGTCGCTGCTAATGTTGACTACTTCAACAACATCATCTTTCCTCTCCTTCTTGACATTCTCGACGTTATCACCCAATCTTGATAACAATAAGTCTCTCAACGAATTCATCCCTACCCTCAACGAATTTATACTCTCCTCGAACTCCCTTTTCATGGTAAGCTGAGTGTTTGCCAAGTCAGCCATGAGAGAATGTAGGCTCGCCAGCTGCATAGGAAATAGGCAAAGTTTAGGTAGCAGGAAATACGAACGGAATTGTAGCAACAATAAGACCTCACAAATTTTCTTACGAATGGGGGAACTTTATTGAAGTGTAAAAAAAGTCCAAGCAAGGCCTTTGGTTGCCAAGAGCTCAACCAAACAACCATAACACAAAAGAAGCACAGATAGGTGGAGCAGCCCACCACTACTGTTACAATCTAAAAAGATAAACAAAAACACATAAACCCCAACACAACAACCACGAAGCCAAGGAAAACACAGCATAGCCAACCACAATGGCTTACAAAAGTAATAACTGCACATGTTTTACCTCATTTGATTTCAGGTGATCAGGTGCTGCCGTTTCCTTGTCTAAGCTGAAAAAACATAACCAACATAAACAAACGTAAGCAAGGGCCATTACAAAGCAATGAACAAAGCCAAGCAAAATAGCACACACGCACCTTGCCATGACACTAGTGGATTTTTGGCTCTGTAGTTGAAAATAATAAACACAGTAGTCATAGAGATGAGATGCTTAAATAGACAATCGTCAGTTTTGATGAAGAAGGGATCTGATTTTATATTTTCTGTTAAGATTTTATTATTTTTTAGTGTTTCAAATGATTAAAATAACCCATCCCAACAACTAAATACAACAGAAAGAGACGGGGAATGGGATGATATCAGATCCCGTCTTATCGAATAAAAAATCTTAAGAAGTTCAAGATATCACAAGAAGTAAATTTTGAAATACAATATTTATCCCATTTTCAACAATTTCGTATAAAAAACCTCAGCAGACTTATTTGATAAAAACAAACAATACAAAATCACATTTATAAGTCTCGGTTGGACAGAAACAATAGAGTTCCAGTGATAAAAGCGCACCTTTTGTTTTTCAGCTGCAAATATGATCAATTATGGGATCGTCAAGCCACAACGACTTCCCTGTAGCTGTGACACAATGACCAAGATGATAAATTACGGATCCCCTCTCGATGGACTCCTTGTACCGATGCTCTATTAGGTCACCTTGCTGCAATAGTTTGATCCCACTTAGAACAACTGTGAAAGAAATCACCACTTTCATCTTTCCTCTGGATGAGAACAAGCAATAAATTAACTTATTAAGCTCCTCAAGCTTGGCAATATAAACACCCTTGGTCTCATCTTCTCGGCTTTCATACATCCAGTCCTCAACCTGCTGCAGCTTTGTCAAGAGTTCTTCCCTCTCCGGCTCAGTGAAAACTCTTGATACTATCAAGGAGCTGGACCATGAAACCTCAGTTAGCACATACATATCGTGAAGGAAACATCCAAAACAAATAACACATGCCCACGACCTGGCTTCTGCTCCTTTTGAAAATACCCAAGTGTCGCGTCTCCTCCCTTTCCAGCGACAATCATATCTCCTGTTCCATTCATCTTAGCATCACCGACGACCTGGCTTTGGCTCCTTTGGACAATACCCCTAACTTTCGCTTCCCCTGTCCTTCCAGCGCCAATCCCAGTCTCCCGCCGCAGCCTCATCCTCTCTCGCTGCTCTGGTCAGATCCCGTCTCCCACCCTAACTCCGCCCGCTCCAGGCAACCAAGTTCTCCGACCTAGTCCCCGACCTAATTTCCTGAATTGCTTCCCTCATCCTCCTCAAAAGCCCTTTCAATTACTTCTTCGGTCAAATACCCTATCGCTTGATTGGCGCCGACTCTTTTATAGGTACCTCTCCACGAAATCGCCATCGCTTGCCCAGTTGATTGCACTCGCTCATCTCTCGGAAAACTACCTGAGAAGACCATCCCTCTTGCGTCCCATCCCCATATGATGTGTCTCTTCCCTTGCAGAGCCTTCTTCCTGGGGGAGATCGACCTCAGGATCTAATGACGAAGATGAAGGAGAAAGGCAGATGGAGAACGAAGATGGTAAAAAGAGGTAAAGACCGTAGGAGATGAATGGTCTGTGCTTCTGTGAGTGTGGAGTCTTTCTCAAATAAAAAATGAACATCAGGTTTAGTGGTAAATTCTAAATGATTAACGAAAACAACTTGGATGGAATTTTACAACTTTCAAGTAAAGATGGAACTACTTTTGCAATAAGAAATTTGTGGGTAATAAATCAAGATTGTTAAAAATTATGGTACTGAAAATTTTGTGTCAGATATATATGTTATTGAATTAAGTTTAAAATAATTTGGGACTAAATAGCAACAAAAATTAAATTAATAAGGGTAGTTGTAATTGTACATTTTAGTAATTATTAATTTAATTATAATTAATTAAAAATGTTAGTAAGTGTGAACAGGGGCGTACGCTAGCCTGAAATATATATATATATATATATATGAAAATATAATAATAGGTCACCAATCTTACGATAAATAATAATAGTAAAACTCAAATGCATTAGGACATTGTGTCTTACCAATGTTGAATATGTTAAAAAAAAATATACACTTGTATAAGTTCAGATTAAATAGTAAGAAAATCATTCATGTCCACTATCCATAATATTTGGATCTGGATTTTGTTCATGTCCACTGTAATCATAATCATTAGTCACTAGAAATGGAAGTTGGAACACTCGACGCTCTCAGCCAAAAGCGTATTAGTAAAACCCATCTTTATGGACCTCAAATCGAACTGAACCAGAAAGGCAGAAACCCTTGCGTCTGATACGCTCCGATCACCGCCGCTACAATGGCCCCCTTCGCCGTCACCGGCCCGCCATCAACAAACGCCAGACAAATCACCTCTTCGCTCACCTCACCGCCGAATTCATCCCCGTAGATATCCCACTTCACATCCGCGTTCTCGAAACCAGGGCGATCTCCGGCACCGAGAGCCCGCTCAGCGACATCGGCAATTCGCCCTTCTCGTAGGAGTTCCTGAACGGCGCCGCCGCCGCCGCCTTCTTCACCCTCGGCGTCTTCATCACCTCGATTTCGAAAGCCCTCACTAGAGATCTGTAGATCGAGCTCTCCAGTACTATGTACGGACCCGTCGTGCTCACCCTCGTCCCCCCGATTCGCTCCAGGGAAACTCCAGCAACGTGGAATTGAACCGAATCGGTGATCCCTCGACAAGAATTGAACTGATTTTGACGAAGTAGTCCGGAATTTCCGATCTGCGGGAGCTGGGGGTAGTTCTTTTGCGGTAATTGGTATGGAGCTTCGTGTAAATTAGTCTGTACGAAACGTCGATTGATCGGGTTTCGTTGTCGGAAGGGTAGAAGAGTTGACTGCCACATGGCTCCGTCCCCGCCTAATTTAATTTGGTATTTAATAATTCTAATATATTTTTTTATTTTATGGTAAAAATGGGTTGAACATTACGATAAATTAAATTTTATTTATTATTTCTTAATTGCCACGTCACTAAGTTAACGCTCAACTTTGAGAGTTGACTGCCACATCAGAAAAAGTTAACGGAGTTGGACTGAGAGTGACCAAACGTGAACGGTTTCAGTAAACTGAAGTACCACCAATGGATTTAAATATTTCGAGTGACTAAACTTGAACTTTTTTGTAATCTCAGTGATCAACCATGCAATTAACCCAATTATCTATATTTAGAGGTTTGCAACGGGTTGGTTCATATCGGCTCACACCGTACCAAACCAACCCAACACGTGGACTGGACCACACCTAACTGAAAATAATATGGTTCGGTCCTTGATCGCATGAATTTTATAAATATTGAAGAAAAATGAACCTATTTAACATTTCGACCGGATCATTCGTTGATCGATCCTTGGTTCTAAGAAGTGTTTCGCTATTGGACCGCAGTTCTTCGAAATTTGGACCGTACCGTAACACTGCTATCCATATCGATGGATAAACCATGTATATGTGGGGTCAGTTTGATAGTTGTGATTGTTTTGGTGAGATTGTTATCATACATGGATTGTTTACAATGCATCATTTTTATTTTATTTTTTTGTAGCAGAAACAATACATAGATTGTTTATTTAATATGAGAGAAACTATCACTCAAAATAAAATTAAGTGATTATTATATCTCAACTTTTAGTTGTGATTGTTGAGATATTTTAGTTGAGATTCTTTTGTTTCAACTTTTAGTTGATGTGACATACACAGTCACACATACCAAACATTGTATTTTACAATTCATCAAATTTCACAATACAAGTATAATATTATACATCTATTTAACAATCGCATCTTTCAAACAACCCCTATATCCTTTATTCGTGATGGAAATTTGACAATACAAGTATAATATTACATCTATTTAACAATCGCAATTTTCAAACGACCCATATGTCCTTTATTCGTGATGGAGAGTAAGAGCATGAAAATTTGACAATACAAGTATAATATTACATCTATTTAACAATCTCAATTTTCAAACGACCCATATGTCCTTTATTCGTGATGGAGAGTAAGAGCGAGGCCCGGCCCGGCCCATCCTAGCCCAGTTAGATTCAGGTTCAGGCCTGGAACCAACACAAGGGCTAAGTCCAACAATATACGCCGATAGAATGCAGCAGCAACGATGGCAGTGGCGTCGGCCACCAACACAAGGAGTGGATTAGCTGAGAACTGTCACATGTGGCAGATGACATGGCGCCAACAAGGTGACAACATGGCGGCTGCACATGTGGCGTGTATGGAAGACTAGTAGCATAGAGATGCTCCTAGGATTCTCCACCTAAATGAGAGCTTAATGGTGCAGTTATGAGTCACATAATGGGTGACATTTATAGAGTGCATAATGGGGGGACTTAATGGGTGTATTGATGTAGTAGAGGGACATTATGAGGGGCATTGATGCCTTGTATGAGGAGAGGCCTATATAAGGAGCCATCTCCCTCACTTGTAACTCATCCATCATTTTTGTGAGCAATACAACTATAGAGTTTCTCCCATCTTCTTGTGTCTTGTTCTTGTGAGTTGAGTGAGTTTGAGAGCTTGTGAGAAGGCTGCCTAGTATCTCTAACGGAATTGAGAGCTAGGGCCGCACGACCAAGAGTAAGGCCGTGACAGTTGGTATCAGAGCCTGGTTCTGAAAGAAGAACCGGTGTCCTCACTCCTCAAGAAGGAAGATAAGAAAGAGCGAGAGCCTCACCAAAGATGACTGGATCAGAAGTCCATGACGATGCGGAGAAGCACCGTGGACGGGATACCGTGAAGAATCCCAAGGCAAAGGGTGACAAGTCAAGCACTCGTGATCCTATGACGTCTCTAGAGAGGCGTGTCTCTAGAGTGGAGGTGAAGTTGGCGGAAGATATCACCGCCATCGAGGATTTGGGAGCTAACTTCGCCCAAGTCGAAAGCGATTGTCAAGGTATGAATGCTCGTTTGTCGAGCTTGGAGATTGGTCATGATGGCATACGAGAAGAGCTTGTGGCCCTCATCAACAACACCATCAACACATCCTTGAACAACGCCATTGAAGTTGTCAAAGAGCATGTCCAGGCTGAGCTGGTCGACGTGAAGGAGGAGATTGCAGACCTCAAGAGTGAGGTCACTCTCGTGAAGAGAGCCATGGCTAACGGACCTGCCATTGCACAACCTACCTCAATCATGGAGGTTCCTAGACCAAAGAGCTTTCAAGGGTCGAGGAATGCAAGGGAGTTAGAGAACTTCCTATGGAGCTTGGAGCAATACTTCGAAGCTTTGGGTATTCGAGATGAGAATACCAAGGTAAAAACTGCACCTCTTTACTTGAGTGATGTTGCCATGCTGTGGTGGAGAAGGACCCAAGGCGATATCAATAAAGGGGCGTGCGTGATGGAGTCATGGGATGACTTCAAGAGGGAGATCAAGAGGCAATTCTACCCAGAGAATGTTGAGTTTGAAGCCCGGTCGAGACTAAGGAGGCTTGCTCACGAAGGAGAGATTCGAGGGTATGTGAAAGAGTTTTCTGAATTGTTGCTCGAGATCCCCGACTACACCGACAAGGAGGCCATGTTCACCTTCCTTGACGGCCTCCAACCATGGGCGAAGTTGGAGCTACAACGGCGAGGCGTGCAAAGTCTTGCCGAGGCAATGGCGATTGCCGAGTCCCTAGTCGAGTACCACGAGCCGGAGGAACGTGCGGAGTTCGGAGGCAATGGAGGTGGACGCGACTATGATAGAGACACACGAAGGCGTGGTAGACCGGACCAAGGAGGTAGTCATAAGGTTGAGAAACCACTTACTTGCTTTCTTTGTGATGGTCCACACCGTGTGAGAGATTGCCCAAGAAAGCACAAGTTGTCGGCAATGAAGGCCGTACTGGCAGAGTGCTCGAGCTCGGAAGAGGAAGCAGAGGAGGCTCCAAGAGTGGAGCCCCATGTCGCGAAGATCGGTTGCATGAAGAGATTGAGCGCCATCAAGCGGGCGGAAGAGCCTCTCCAACCCGAGCAGCACGGCCAATGCTTCGTAGAGGCGAAGCTCAACCAAAGGAAAACAAAAGCTTTGGTTGATACTGGGGCAAGTTGCAACCTTCTTGACGTAGGTGAAGCGCAGAGGCTAGGCATCACGTACGAGAAGAAGCAAAGAGGGTGGATGAAAGCTACCAACTCAAGGGCCACAAGAACTCATGGAGTAGACCGCCAGGTGCCACTCAAGCTTGGAGGATGGACCGGGGTGGCAGACTTTGAGGTTGTGTCGTTGGATGATTATCAGGTCATCATCGGCATGGAATTCATGGTGCGGGAGAAAGCTTTCCCGATTCCCTACGCCAATAGATTCTGCATCAAAGGTGGAGCAAGATCGGTTCCCATGACAAGAGAGCAACTCGAGTCAAACAAGAGGTGTTTGGCAAGGCAAGAGCAGCGAGAAGTGGCAACGATGGTGGAGGCAGAGACTCACTTGAAGACTCGTTGGAGAAGGACGAGAAGGAGGAGTGCACAACATCGTGGAGCCATGAGAGACGAGGATGTATCATCTTCGACTTGCCAAGAGAAGCAAGGAAAGGCCACCATGATCGAGAAGGCGGGACACTCAAAGACGCGACGGAGAAGACCGCGGAGGAGTGAGCAACATCATGGGAGCACAAGGCTCGAGAGCGAGCCAAGGCCATCCTTGGTTTGGAGGAAGGTGCAACGAGACCTTGCAAGCAATGAAGCTAAGGCAAGGGAGGCGTCTGCCAAAGAGCCACGACGAGGGCGTCGTGGATTGAGTGGAGGAGAATGTCACCAACGAGGCTCAAGAGTCGAAAGAGGCTGCTCGAGGTCGAAGGAGACATTTTGTAGCAAGGACGCGACGAGGGCGTCGCGAGCATAGGTGGGGGAGGATGTCACATGTGGCAGATGACATGGCGCCAACAAGGTGACAACATGGCGGCTGCACATGTGGCGTGTATGGAAGACTAGTAGCATAGAGATGCTCCTAGGATTCTCCACCTAAATGAGAGCTTAATGGTGCAGTTATGAGTCACATAATGGGTGACATTTATAGAGTGCATAATGGGGGGACTTAATGGGTGTATTGATGTAGTAGAGGGACATTATGAGGGGCATTGATGCCTTGTATGAGGAGAGGCCTATATAAGGAGCCATCTCCCTCACTTGTAACTCATCCATCATTTTTGTGAGCAATACAACTATAGAGTTTCTCCCATCTTCTTGTGTCTTGTTCTTGTGAGTTGAGTGAGTTTGAGAGCTTGTGAGAAGGCTGCCTAGTATCTCTAACGAAATTGAGAGCTAGGGCCGCACGACCAAGAGTAAGGCCGTGACAGAACCCACCGACTGTCTTCCTCAACAGCTAGGGTTTACAGTTTCATTTCTGTAAATGATGAACATGTCACCATGATTTTACTTGCCAACAATACAATATGAGAAATTTATTCTAACACCGCGAAAACGAAGTCCATGATCAAATAGTACAACGTCATAAAAGTATGTAGATTTGAAGGCAATTGACATACACACCAAGCTACCAACTCCCAGTATCTCTCCTTCAACATATTACACATCACAGTGTTCATCACTCACTCTCTCCGGAAAAGAACCTGGCTGAACAGAGTATCAATCCATCAACATCCTCCTAATTCTTAACTGTGGTAACCTGCCTCAGCAGCATGTCTATAACATCATGAGAGATTCTGGAACCCTCCTCCTTCAGGTGACCAATCTTCACCTGGGTTTCTTGTTCCAGCCGCTTCACATTAGCACCCGAGTCACCGCTGGTCTGTTGTTTCCCACAGGGGCACAAGAGAGTCAGACTATTTGGGCATGGAGGTAGTGTTCCAAACAAGCAATTTGATCGGAAATTGAACAAAGTGTGAGGCACAATCAATGAGGCTCGTCTAATTCTCTAGTTTATTACCTCTGTCAGCTTTGCCTGATATTGAGCTTCCATTTGGGCGCGGAATTCAGTAGCTTCCCTTTCAGCCTCATCCTTGGCTTGTTTCAGCCTAGCCAATTTTGCTACATAAAACAAGCAAATCTCATTATCTCCAAATTCATTCGGCGAAGCTGAAGCAGCTAATGAGTCGAAACCAATAACTCCTCTGAAATTTATACAATAACCTAGATTCGCCAGGGGAAAACAACACAAAGTTCATGAATTTCTAAATTAAGAAGTGAGTTCCAATTCAAAATTCACCATTTCACTGCAAGCCTCAATTTTGCAAAATCAAGTTTCAAAAGTCAAAAGGGAAACAATATGAAGGCAGAAGTGCAAGGAGCCAACTTTAGTGTGTAGCTGGGCTAATTCTCACCAACATGAAATTATCAAGATTTGAACTGCCTCAAGCCTTGGGGAGAAAAAAGGCAAAATCCCAACCAACCAAGAATAGGCACAGGACAGCAATTCAATCCAAGCATTTTAAGTAAAATCAGAAGCAACCTCACGACATATCCAAACATCTTTAACCTAACTGTTGATATAGAGAACTAATCAAGATGATATAACTTCAAACTACAGTAAGCCCCCGGTATAGAAACCATCAAGTGAATATGCAGACAGAGCAAGCTAAGATATCAAATGGTGGATTCCTAACAAGGGGAAAAAGTGCTTACCATTTCTTGCAGCATTGACAATGTGCTGAGCTTCTTGCTCTGCAGCTAGAAGGAGTTGAATTCCATTACCCCTGCTGGACTCCATTCTTCCTTACCTAAGAGATTCTTCATTTTTCCATTAAAAAATCCCAGCAAGTATAAATTAGCAGATTAGCAAATGACTATGGGGAATAAGATATCTCCTTGGAGTAATTAAAATCAAATGGATCATACAAAATTATCTAAATAAGGGGCAGCCACATATAAGATCGACCAATGATAACCCTCAATCCGTGCAACACTGAAATCGATCCAAGATCCAAACTTTTGGAAGGCTCAGCAGTCAGCATCAACTGTTAAGTTTCAAGCCAATCCAAACATGGTGTGCGGATAAAAAGAGCGGGAGGAAATCCACCGACAACACAGCATCAAATTACACTGATCTCTATCATAGAGAACAAGAAGCACAATGAAATTCAAGCAAGTTGCCCAGATTTTGGTTTAACTACAACAGATCATACGATCACAGAAATCTCAGAAAGGTTCAGTACAGCCAAAAGCATGTGATCCTACTTCAACAAGTCTCAAAAGAGTCAAACCTATCAAACTCATCGACTACCCTGAGTCCAAATCAAACCAACCAAGAAGCAATTGGAATCCGGAAACTCAATTGAGCTCCAGATTCGCAGCACACTGAAAGCAGAAACGTGATTTGTAGTAGGATCCAGAGTGAGTGCAAGAGATCGAGTCGGGTACTCTTGGAAGAGAGAGAGAGAGACTTACCGAAGGACCGGTCGATCTGTTATGGTAGTCAAGAAGGAGTCGAGAAGGATAAGAGAAGGCTTTGATCTAGCGAACGAAAACGAACTGGTGAAGACGTATGTGGAAATTGGAATGGAAAAGAAAAACCGATTTAAGAAGGGATATATACGGGAACTCGGGAAGGAAAGAGTGAAGAATGGTTTAATTACATAAATGGCATCGAACTTTGAGATAACTACAAAGTAGTCACTATACATTAATTTATTTTATATTTGCACCAAATTTTAGCAATGAATATAGTAGGTAGTGATGGCAATGAGGCGGGGCGGGTACTTCAATTCCTATGTCCCGCCCCACGTTATTATGGGGCGGAGCGGGTAAAATCCGCACTGGTACGTGACGGGACGGGTCGACCCACTCTAACATGTTATTTGAAAAAAATACACGCAAATTGTACTTTTAAGAAAAAATGAAGGGAAAACACTTTATGAATGAAAAATAGTGATAATAGGATGGATTGAGTCTAGCTAGTTGAAGAAAAGTCCAAATAAGATAAATATGTATAGATACTATAAGAAATCGGACGATTGGACGATTGCAGCCGTCACTGGCGGTGCGACAGTTGTGGGTGATTGTGGCTCCTGAGTATCGTTATTTGGAATTCCCGAGATAATCATCTAGACTATGACAAATCGAAGTATGTGAACGGATCGTTGAGAATTCCAAGTGAGGTGATAGAAGAAGGATCAAAGCGTTGGGAGAATTGCTTAGTTGGACAGTTCATCGACCGCCCAGCTTCAATCTCTCCACTATGGTATTGGGAAAATTAGTTATGGGGCAAGGATGGCGAGGTCAAGGTCTCTTGGATGAGGCGATGACTGGTTCTATTCCAATTTGCCAATGCTGAGATCTGTCAGTGGGTGTTTGAAAACAGACCATGGCATCATAGGGAGAATTTGTTGTTTCTCCGAAAATGGGAGCCAGGGATTAGTCCACTTAAGATCGAAAACACCGGGTTGCCTCTATGGATCAAGCTATCCAATATGCTGGCAGAGCTTACATCCAAGGAAGGGTTATGAAGAGTGGCTAGTTTGTTGAGACTCCCTTTGTGTATGGATAAATCTACAACACATGGACGAAAAGGTGGGTTTTGCACAGATTTGTGTGGAGGTTAAGGCAACTGCTAAGAAGAAAACGAAACTGAGTGTCCCACCATATGGATTGCGTGAGCTTTTTATTGACGTTGTGTATTGTCATATGCCAAAGGTTTGTGAGAAATGTCCGTATTTTGGGTTAGCTAGTGGGACTTCAACAAAGGGTATGGCCAAGAAAATCCCAGTGATAGGTGAGATTCCAGGAAACTAGGAAACCCATATAGCAATTGACAATTAGAAGGAAGTTCCTCTGACAGTAAAAGTAGAGATGGTGTCTCAGGAGCAGGAGAAGGCACCTCAGGTAGCAAAAGAAACACAAGAAAAATGGAAAGAGGTTGCTGAGGAAGTGGCATTAGATGATGCAGTGAATATGCAAGACCAAATAGTATCACAAACCCCTTCCTCGAGAAGCGGGTTGGTGGATGAAGATGGCTTTACTCTGGTGGTTAACAGGAAGCAGAAAGTGCGGATTAGCTCTGGTTCAAGTAGCAAGGGCATTCAGAGACAGATAGTATTAGATGAAAGAACATATCTTAGCTTGATGGGAAGTAGAGCAGGAGTTAGACTTGCAGTGATCCACCCTCCTTCACCTCCTAAAGGAAGAGAAAGGGGGAAAAGAGAGGTAAATTAAGTTGCTTAGCTGGAATATCAGGGGATTCAACTCCCCTGATAAACACTCAGATGTTTTAGAGCAGTTGAGGGTAAAGAAAATAGATATAGTAGGACTGCTAGAAACTAGAGTGATAGAAGATAATATTAAGGCAATAATTACATGTGCTTTTTCTGCATAGCAACACTTAGATACCTATGCTAAATCAAAACTGGGAAGAGTGTTGAAGAAGGGGAACATTTTATACAGATTCTGGTTGAAGATAGAAGGCCATTCATGGTAGTTCTTGTCTATATCCCTAATAAGGAGGCGGGGAGGAAGTTACTTTATCAGGAGCTATTAGTAAGGAAAGATACTAGTATCCCTATGGTCTATATGGGGGATTTCAATGCCATCGCTGAGGTTAATGAAGCTCACATTTAGTAACACAAAGTATGCATGATTTTAGAGGCCGGATCAGGGATATGGAGTTAATTGATCACAAGGTTGCTAGATCCTGGTTTACTTGGTGGAATCGACAAAGGGCTAACCCAATAGCTAGAAGGCTTTACAAATTCATAGTGAATGAAGTTTGGTTGGAGATTTTTTCGGATAGCTCAGCTAAGACACCCCCCCCCTGTGGTTTAATTTTGAATACAAACTCTCGACTAAAAATACTTCCTACAAGTATTTTGTTTTCTCACAATCCCACCCTACCTTATGTATCATTCAGCAGGCATGAGAGAAACAAATGTCAGGTTACCCTTATTATATTTTCTTTGGAAAGCTATAGAATGTCATGCAGGGGCTCAAGAAGTTGAATCGTGATGTATACTCAGATATCTCAGAAAGAGTGAAGGAAGCAGCAATTGCATTGGAGGTTTCTCAAATGGAAATATTGAATCATCCTATTGAGGAGCTCATAGCTGAAGAAAAGAAGTTGTGTCTTTAATATCTGGCATTAAAAAAAGCATAAGAGTTATACTATAAGCAGAAGGCTAGAACTCATGCAATACAAGAAGGGGATGCTAGTACCTCTTATTTTCATAAGATTGCAAATATCAAGACTCAAAAGCAACAGATTACTCGAATGGTGAATGATAAGGGAGAAATGAAAATTGATGTGAAGAGCATAGGAAATATTGCAGTGGATTTTTACACACAGTTGATTGGTACTGAGGATCCAAATGTGGAGCAGCAGCCACTAGAGTATTTTCAAGGGATCCTACCGCACAAGTTATCACCAGATGAGAGGGCAATGTTAATGGGAGGAATCACAGGAGTTGAAATTAAGCAAGTGTTTCAAACACTTGGAAGGGTTAATCCTTTCTTTATTCTCTACTAGTTTCATGCCTCCAATTGTGAATAGTACCATATTTACATTGATTGCAAAGTTGCCTTGCTCTGAGAAAATGAAGGACTTCTGATGCTCTAAAACACAACACCTAACAATAGCCAAGTGTAACCAATGAAAGGGACTGCAGTATAGTGGCACAAGTAATAAATATCGAATCCACGGGTCTCTAGAGTTACTATTACTCAGCTTCAGTTCATTATCTAGCAAACTAGATTAAGGATTGATTAACTAAACTACTCTACTAACTAAACTAAGTAAAACTACTAATTACAGTTTGGGAACTCACTTAGGTATGATTCCCCCTAGCTCCTCAATTAGGTCCAAGTTGTAATTCCTTTTGGTTGATTTACTGTTGATTAAACTGCGGAAGATCCGACAGTAGCTTGGAATCTCTTAAGCTGACCAAGCCCTCTCAGTCTAACTATCCGGCAGACGACTAGTCATCACCGGGATAGAAAGCTGAAGCAATAAGCACAGAACTCCACTACTGGAATTGGATTCCAGTACAAAGCAGTAAACTGGCTAACTCTCGTATAGCCAATCTCCTACTACCGAATGATGAGACTCTAGCAACCTAATCAGATTCTATCTATCTCAGATTGCAGCAGGAATCAGGAAAAGTTGATCAGACTTCAATTGACTCAATAAACATGCATCATTCGATTAAAATCAAACAATATAGCATCCAAAACTTCATACAAGAAAGATCCTAACTCATGGAACTACGGTTCCTCAAAACCTAAGTGAAGGGAAGTTACTCAATAGAGAAGAGAGAGACTGCAGAAATCTGATCTAGATCTTCAATCTCCATCTCCAAGCTTGATTCCCGAGCTCCAATGGCGAAGAAATCCTCCAAAATAGCTCCAAGAATGTTCTCAAGTCGCTCTCTCTCTCTAGGGTTCGTCCCTTGGGTGTTTGGGATCCAAAACCCAGCTCTCCCCCTTTCCTTGTGCTGAAAATCGGGTTTTAAACAGCAATTCCCGACTCACACGGCCAGGCCACACGGCCGTGTGGCTTTCCCAGCTGCCCGTGTGAAGGCTCGGTGATTTCCACACGGCCACATGGCCAGGTCACACGGCCGTGTGTGTTGTGCCCGTGTGGCTTGCTCAGCCTCTGTTTAATGCTTCGTTTCTCCTTCGTCCGGACTCCGAATCAGTCGCCGTTTGATCCCAGACGCTCGTAGTCTCGTCCTCTTTCTTTTCATGACAAGCTTGCATGATTCTTTGTCCATAAAGTGAGGTAGAAATCCATTCTTCTTCAGGTCATACCCGAGTTTCTTCTCCCGAATCGTCAATTGATCTCTGATTGACTTGAAACTTGCGCCTATGCTTCACTTTATGTGCTAGGACCTGAAATGTGACAAAGGAACACAACCTAGCGTAAAATAGGCCAAAGACACGATAATTCAAGCTCAAACAATCAAGAAACAAAGGGGAAAACATGTGCAAATACCGAGTCATCAACTTCATACCTATATCCTTTTGCAATACCTTGTATAAGGGAATCTCTAAACTGTTGTCTAATAAAATTGCATTAGTACTTCCTAGTGTAATGAGTCGATCTCAGTTTGCATTCATTAAAGGGAGGGAAATTAGTAATAATATGCTTCTGGTATCTGAGTTTGTGAGGAATTATCATAAGAAGAATATTACTCCAAGATGAGTGGTAAAAATAGATATAATGAAGGCCTGTGATTCAGTCAATTGGAATTTTCTATTTCCTATAGTGGAAGCAATGGGATTTTCCTCTGGCTTTCTTAATCTGCTATCTGCCTGTATTACACTATTACTACTCCAAGTATTAAAGTCTCAATCATGGGGGACTCTGTGGGAACATCAAAGCATGTAAAGGCTCTATTTCCCTACCTGTTTACAATTGCTATGGAAGTACTTGATTGTTTGGCTAGGAAGGTTGTCTATATTTGGGATATACCGGATACCGTATCGAATTTGTCTATATTTGGTATTACCGAATACACGTATTATTTCGTGGGATTGGGATTGGATTTCAATTGTTATTCGGTATTAGGGATTAAGGGATTAGGATCGATATATACCGAAATACCGATCAATACCGAAATATAAGCTAGTGTGTATTTTATCCTCTCAACTAGACTCTCTCATTCACTACTACACGACCCTCAACCACCAAAAGTGTCATTTAATTATACATAAATCATTACATCACTATTTCACACTAGTATTAGTCGTCTCTCAACCTCAAAATCGTCAAATTAAATATTACCAATTACAAGAACTTGAGATATTAGCTCTAGGCAACTCAAGACTATTTGCTTAGTCTCTTTGCCCTAAATTAAACAATAAAATCTCATTTATATATTTTATCATTAATTGCAAAGGTAATTAATTATGTATTCGATAATACCGATTGGGATACCGAAATTATATAGGGATTGAGATTGAAATTGATTTTAGGGTGCAATTCGATATTCGAGATTTCGGTATTACCAATACCGTACCGATTTCCACCCCTACTCATAACAACAAGTCCACTAAGCTATAAGCAACAACAATGAAATTTCAGTGCACGGTTTAGTTATTATATCATTTGTACTTTTTACATAATTTTCAAAGAACCCGATACATTTAGACGTGATACATTTACACGTGATCGTCGAATCCTCTAGCTCCACCCCTGCATAATTGTAAGCGTTATTTTCGTATGATACCCTACTAGTTTGCAACGTGAGCAAGGGTCGCATCATCTGCTGCAGAAGCTGCTGAGCTTGAAGTTTGAGCCTTTATCAAGGTTGCTACATGCCTAGCAACCCACATAGAGCCGGCTTCAGTGCAACAGAAGCTGTGGGAATGGCCCTCCCTTTCGATTGCTAAGGGCACCTTGGGGATCTGCTTTGCAATCTGCAGCCCGGCAAAGAACGAAACAAACAAACAATCGAAAACCGAATCTATCCATTAAACCACTCATCCTAAATTACATTCTCTAAAAGGATGCAACTTTCAGAACACTAACTAACCTCCTCATATACTTGCAAAGGCCCCCAGTGGTCATGAGCACCAAACATGAATGCCAATTTCCTGTGATTCTTTCTCATGAACTCCCAGTCCGGTTCCTGCGAAAGCTGACATAACCAAACACCCGCGATTGTTATGTTTTCCCAGGACTCATCATCCTCAAAAAGGAGTAAGAGAATCTCACTTGCTCTAATTCTGTCTTTGCCATGTAAAGCATATTCCTGAACATATGGTACTGTGTAACGAATCAAACCAACCCGAAAAATCATTAAACTTCATAGTACTAGGATTGTTTAACACGCACACCATCGAGATGGATGGCAAAATTATAGAACCCTTGTAGGAAGAAAGGAATCTTTTGATCTACTGTGGAGAAGAGAGAACAAAGGAAGAGACTGCACCTTGAGATAATGAGCATGAGCAGTCTCAAAAGCAGAATTAGACCATGACCATGACCTCTTGCCAATGACAAACAGTACCAGCATGTACTGGGAAAACCGCATGGGAAATAATCCAGCAAATGCTGCCATCAAGCTCATCAGTCCACAGAGGATGGAGAATCTGAAAATTCAATTCATCTTCATGAATATGTCGAAATCAAGAATAATAGTATCAGAAGTTCCCAACCGATTAGAGAATCAATCTCCATCATTTGAACTGAATATTTTCCAGATTTAACCAGCCACGCCTTTGCAACATCAAGCTGTAGGCATACTACAACTACATAACCTCGATACATGGACGAATCAAGCTGGACAAGATGCCAGAATTGCAAGAAACAGATATGTTAACAGACATACCTCGTCATGTTTCTAACTTTAGCCTGCTTCTTTGATAGAGGATTCACCATTATAAAGGGGTACAGCCCTATGGTATATATCACCTGCAATTTGTAAAGCAAGAGTAACATATCAAACGGTTAAACGGAGTAATGATGTGTACAAGATGTAGCTTAACCCAATATCCATCTTTACCATTTCTCCCTTTCTCCTCAACATCTCCATCGTTATGTAGGAACCAATAGAATGCCCAACCTTCACAAATGTAGTTTTGTGAGTTAACAGGAATTTCAATTCCCAAACACAGATTCAACAGTAATCATTATCACTCAATTCAAGGAACGGAAATTAGAAATAGAATACTGATCGCTACCAAAACTATGGGAACTTTGGTATCTTGCAGTTCCTGGCAAATGAAATCCACCTACAAAGAGGAAACATAACTCATAAACCCAACAGTTCTTCAGGAAAAAGGAAACGAAGCTCGAGAAGAAAAACAAACTTGTAGATGAAATTAAGCATGCAGATGAATACCTTATGATCAATTTGTTCTTGCAAGGAGAACAACTTCCCATTCTCCCAGTTCTGCACATACAAACAAACATAGGAAGTAAGCTATCACATAATTCCAGACAAGTATAACATACCAAAACCCAACTCTACTTTGATGTTACTGTGGGTATAAGAGCAATTCGATATGTGAACTCTAAGGCCTAAGCACTATTACATCATGAAGCTAGATGCAACAGATATCAGAAGTAATAAGAAGAACCACTTTGCAAGCAAGTACATGCCTAGAATTCTCATACACCTACCTCTTTCGTGTGACCGATGTATCCAATGGCTGTGGATGAAGAAACACAAACAGTCAGATTTAGATTCTGCCCACAGCATCACAAATCTCATAACGTTGGATCAACATGAGACACTAAATAGAATTGCCTGTAATGGAAGCAGTCCCTCCTAGTGAACCGTACAGCGACTCCACAAAGTCCTTGTAAAACGAAACTATACCTGTTGTAAACAGGCAAACCCTATGGGTTAATAATACCACAGATAACAGCCACAGGAACATTAAAAACGTTACCTGGATTCCCAGGGACAACGACAACATGCAATGTCGGGTTATCAGCTTCAATCTCTAGCAATTCGGTAGTGTAACTGGACAGTAAGGAAAAACACAGTTATAAAACCAGATACAGAGCCACCATAGCTAACAAGTTGTACCATATATCCCCATAAGTTACCTCGAAACCTTGCACACCCGGAAATTCGCAGACTTGACAACGTTAGGGTCCACATCCTTACTACCCATTTCCCTGAAAGAACCAAATCCAAGTCCCTTACTCCTCAGAGTAATTAAGATGTTCCAAAATGCAGCAGAGGCCGAAACTATAAATAACTAGGAGAAAGCACGTAACGAAGAAGCATTCAAGCAATTGAATCCGGCTGGGGTTGCATTTTGAGGCTTCGGGGTATGTGTGCAAAACAACAATTTCTACGATGACACATCCCCCACGCTACGACAGAAATCGAGCGTTTGGCAACTGAAAGACCTGCTACAAAAATGTGCCGATTTAGTACCCAGTGACGGAGACGCAGCAACTGGAAGGGTGAGAGAGTGAGACATGATGATGGATGAAGCAAGAAAACGAACCTCCCGTTGTTTTTTGTTTGCGTCAGCTCATTGCTTTCCATTGACGAGGACGGATGTCGGCTTGACTTGCATTGCATGTAGCTTCCTTCCATTTATGAAAGAAGTGAAACAGGGGACCAAAGATTTGGGTTCCATAGATGTTAGAAAGGTATTGAGGCCGGCAACTTCTGTGCTTTTCTTTTCAGAAAGAGTTTCACTGTTCCCCGCCGATGAAGAAATATGAGAGATGCATGTTGTAGTGGTTTAATTACATAAACTATCTTTTAAGCCAGTCGATTGTCCATAACTTTTATTATGTTTGTTTTAGTTAAAAATTGTTCTCTATCTATAGCTATAGCTATAGTTATAGTTTTGGATGGCTCCTTGCTAAGGTCAGGGATAACCAGTCAGTAGACAGGAGTAAGGTTTAGTGGTTGAGGAGGGTTAATCCCGTTGAACAATATCAGAGGGAGAAACTGCAATGGAAACAAAAATCTCGAATCAAATGGCGGTAGGAAGGAGATCGTAACACAACATATTTTCATCTGGTAGTAATGTTCAACGTCAAGGTAATATTATTCGTGAATTGGAGGGTGCGAACGGAATTTGGGTCACCTTTGAAGAGGATAAGATTAGAATTGTTGTGCAGTATTTCGAGGAGCCTTTCTAGTGTGCTCTATAGCACCCATGCTATAAAAAACAAAACAAAAAAGTTGACCTGTTGAGGAGGTAACCCACTAAATGACTGGTCCCGCATCATTAATGGCAATCTTGTAAATAATGAGTCAATGTATACAAGTATAGGTACAAATTAGAGTTGTACCATATAGTATAGGTACAAGTTTCAGCTGTACCATTGAAGAATTTGTTTCACAAAGTGTAGGTACAACTTAAAGTTGTACCATTAGTATAGGTACAATTTTTAGTTGTACCATAAAGGGATTTGTTAGAAAGTGTAGGTACAACTTAAAGTTGTACCATGGTATAGGTACAAGTTCGGGTTGTACCATAAAGAATTTTAAGAAAGTGCAGGTACAACTTGAGGTTGTACCATTAGTATAGGTACAATTTTGAGTTGTACCATAAAGGGATTTGTTAGAAAGTGTAGGTACAACTTAAAATTGTACCATGGTATAGGTACAAGTTTGGGTTGTACCATAGAAGGATTTTTAGGAAGTGTAGGTACAACTTAAAGTTGTACCATAGTATAGGTACAAATTTGAGTTGTACCATAAAGAGATTTATTAGAAAGTGTAGGTACAATTTAAGGTTGTACCATTAGTATAGGTACAAATTTGAGTTGTACCATAAAGAGATTTATTAGAAAGTGTAGGTACAATTTAAAGTTGTACCATTAGTATAGGTACAATTTTTAGTTGTACCATAAAAGGATTTGTTAGAAAGTGTAGGTACAACTTAAAGTTGTACCATGGTATAGGTACAAGTTTGGGTTGTACCATAAAAGAATTTTGAGAAAGTGTAGGTACAACTTAAGGTTGTACCATTAGTATAGGTACAATTTTTAGTTATACCATAAAGGGATTTGTTAGAAAGTGTAGGTACAACTTAAAGTTGTACCATGGTATAGGTACAAGTTTGGGTTGTACCATAAAAGAATTTTGAGAAAGCGTAGGTACAACTTAAGGTTGTACCATTAGTATAGGTACAATTTTTAGTTGTACCATAAAGGGATTTGTTAGAAAGTGTAGGTACAACTTAAAGTTGTACCATGATATAGGTACAAGTTTGGGTTGTACCATAAAAGAATTTTGAGAAAGTGTAGGTACAACTTAAGGTTGTACCATTAGTATAGGTACAATTTTTAGTTATACCATAAAGGGATTTGTTAGAAAGTGTAGGTACAACTTAAAGTTGTACCATGGTATAGGTACAAGTTTGGGTTGTACCATAGCTGGATTTGGAGAAAGTGTAGGTACAACTTAAGGTTGTACCATTAGTATAGGTACAATTTTGGGTTGTACCATAAAGGGATTTATTAGAAAGTGTAGGTACAACTTAAAGTTGTACCATAGTATAGGTACAAGTTTGGGTTGTACCATAGAAGGATTTTTAGAAAGTGTAGGTACAAATTAAAGTTGTACCATTAGTATAGGTACAAGTTTGGGTTGTACCATAGAAGGATTTATTAGAAAGTGTAGGTACAACTTAAAGTTGTACCATGGTATAGGTACAAGTTTGGGTTGTACCATAGAAGGATTTTTAGAAAGTGTAGGTACAAATTAAAGTTGTACCATTAGTATAGGTACAAGTTGTTAATATATTTTCAAATTCAGTAGTTTAGCTGCATGTAGCCCACACTAGTGCATCATCATATTCTAATTGGAAAACATACAAGCACAAACGCAAACACACATAGCTAAGTACTAAGGACTTTTGTTGGCTCATCTTCACTGCCCATCTTCCTCGTCAGTGCTCTCGTCCTCGTCTTCGTTTTGATGGATTTGCTCATCTTCATTGTCCTCGCTAGAGTCACTGCCCTCTTCCTCATTGGTCCCTTTGTCATCTTGAGTTCTTTCCTTGTATTGTTCATTGCCATTTCCCTCGTCGTCCTCCTCTTCACTGCCCTTTTCCTCATTGGTCCCTTTATTCTCTTGATTTCTTTCCTTGTTTTGATCATCGCCATTGCCCTCGTCGTCCTCCTCTTCACTGCCCTTTTCCTCATTGGTCCCTTTGTCCTCTTGATTTCTTTCCTTGTTTTGATCATTGCCATTGGCCTCGTCGTCGTCCTCTTCACTGCTCTTTTCCTCATTGGTCCCTTTGTCCTCTTGATTTCTTTCCTTGTTTTGATCATCGCCATTGCCCTCGTCTTCCTCTTCACTGCCCTCTTCCTCATTGGTCCCTTTGTTCTCTTGATTTGTTTCCTTATTTTGTTCATCGCCGTTGCCCTCGTCGTCCTCTTCACTTCCCTCTTCATTGCTTTCCTCGGTTGGCCTAGGAGATAGTTCCCAAGGTGTTGAGAATTTTTTGTAGTCAATCCTCAAGGACCTCATGATGTGATGGTTGCATTTGATGATGTAGCGTCGAGCTTCCTTTTCTCGATCGAGGCGGGAGAGAATGAGTGCATTTTGCTCGAGAATTTGGGCATTCTGCCGACCCAATGCCTCAAAATGGGAAATGTATCTGTCGGTGGATGGTCCGGCTTGAGTCGTAGTTTGGTGATGTTGTGCAGGTTGTTGCCGAGACTCCTCGACCATTTGCTGAACAACATGCTCCGATGCGTTTGCCTCATCTGTTGCAAGAGGTGGAGCAGGATGAGGGAGGCCAACAATGCCTAACACACCATTCTCCTTAACCACCAAACACAGACATGATCAATATCAGAAGCATTAGTTACATTTGCTCAATGTTCAAAAGGAACTAGATTAGCAGGCAATCCAAAACTTGCACAAAATCAATCCTAGATTGTTTGAATCCCGACTAGTTCTGTTTTAGCATTCACTGTGAAAAGGAAAGTGTTGGTTGGAACATTTACCTTTGACAACAAATATAGATCCGCAAGGTTTTTTTGGGAGATTGGTTGAGTGGACTGGGCAATGGTGCAATGAGAACCCACCGGATCAATGCCAAAATGCCGAGCTAGCCTTGTGATGTAGGCACCTCCATGGATGGTCTTGATTTGTTTGTTGGAGGTCATCTTCTGTAGGGTTTTCAGTATGACTAAACCAAGATGAATTGGGGGATCTTTTACCATAGAGAGGAAAAAGTTCAAATCCCGCTTGGTCACACTCCCCGGGCTACCCTCCCTAGCTGCCACAGAATGAGCGATAATGTTGTGGATGATACGCCATGGGGGAAGAAGATCATTCCCTTTATAGTGGGCAGTGTCAGACTTGTCCACATGGTTTTGTTTTACCCTTTTCCACATAGCATCGACCAATTGTGCTCTTGGTGAATATACTTTCTCTGAAATCAAACCATGACCTGTAGTGAGAAATCCTGGTGGGTATATCTGGAGTGCCTCTGTGAACTCAGTGATGCTCATCTGTCTCGCCTGTCCTCCAAGGCGAAAAGTTATGTTGTCTTCGGGCTTGTCGAGGTGAAATTCGCACATAAACTTGATGGAGAGAGTGCTGAGGAACTCAATGGTAAGCTCTTGGTAGATGACCTCATTGATGGAGAGAACCTCACACCATGCCGGGAGACGGAGGCATGTGCGAACGGGGTCCGCTGCTCCGAGGCCCTCTAGGAGATCCCAATCAATGCATCTTTGCTGCCCAAATGGGAGGGGAAGGAAGCGCTCTAAAGCCCTCCTATGTTTGTCGGGTAATTGGAGGAAGCCGTGAAGTCCCCCTCCTCCAAGTTGAGCCTCCGTTTGTGGTGGTGGAGATGGTTGACGTGCTCGTCCTTGGTTGTTTTTGCGTTGTCGTTTGGGGGGAGTGTCTCGTTCTTGGGTTTGGCGGCGACGACGAGAAGGAGCCTTCACTTTAGCAGGTGAGGCTGATGGTTGCGTGGTTTTTTGTTTAGCTTTCCCCATTCCTACAAAAACCAACTAAGCACATTAAGTCTTTAGTGAATGAGAGGGAAAAGAATTATGCATAAGCATATGCAATTCACAAAGAGACGTCTACACCCTAAAAAAATGCAACAAACCAGGAGCATTCTAATCCCAGGAGCATTCTAATCACAATTAGGAATTCAAAACCCTAATTCAGACCAACCAGGAGCATTCTAATCACAATTAGGAATTCAAAACCCTAATTCAGACCAACCTTGGGCAACTAAACCCTAAAAAATGCAAGAAACCAGAGAAGATTGCCGCTGTGGTTAAGAAGAACTCACGAAGTGGAACAGAGGGCAGAGACTCGTGGGGAAATGGTCGCCGTCGCCGCTGGACCTTGGAGCATTTACCAGAGTCGTGGGGAAGTGGTCGGCGGCGGAAGAATCTTCGAGGGTGAGCGAGCGAGTGCGACCGATCGAGGGCGATGGCGAGCGAGTGAGGGCGAGGCTTGGGGGGTCGAAGTGCGATGGCGAGCGACTGAGAACAGAGGGAGTAGAGTGAGAACAGGGGGTCGGGGGAGAAGAGGGTTGGGGGTCGAAGTGCGATGGCGAGGGTTCGGGGTCGAAGTAGAACAGAGTGGGGGTCGGGTTCAAGTAGAAAAGAGGATTTTAAAACAGGGTGCGGACCAATTTGAGGGTTCCATCTCACGGTTTTTCTCCCGGGCGGGATATAACCCGTGAAACCCCCTGTCCGTTACAATTTTTTTAAAAACATTCTAACGGTATATCTACCGGCCGTGAGGTTCCAGTTATGAGGCGTGGTTTTGGGTTTCAACTGTGACCATCTCACGGGTTAATCT